CACACACACACACACACACAAGTGAACCTGCATTGAAACCAATAGGGAGTTTTTTTTCACTGAACATATTACTGAAAAAACTTACATTCACTAAAATTACACCTAAAACCTGAATCTAAAAGAGTTTCTTATTTATCCAACCCAACCCAAATACATGACTCAAACCAACAGTGACCTTTTAATTGTACTGTAAACACTGTTCACAATAGTCTCAGATTGAGTCTCTCTCTAACTCACACACACACACACTCACACACACCACAGAACCGCATGTTTATTTCAGATTGTTTATTTCCATTAAAATTTCCATTAAAATCAGTAAATGAAGGTGGTAGAAAAAAAAACTGCAGTATACAGCAGAGATGAATATCCCCCCCCCCACCTTCGATGCAACCCCCACCTATTACAAAAGGAGTGGCAAATGCTGCTAAACACAGACGCAACATCTACACTGGAACTGGAAGTTACATTAGTCTGGAGCTGCAGGAGCTGGCACATCGTTTATACTGTTACTTGTAATTGCTCGGGTTAAGTTTCCATTTGTTTGGTCGTTTAGCTTCGTTTCCACCCCCTCTATCTCGGGTCATATCGTCCGGGTGTGAAGTGGCAGCACCTTGTGCAGGGCGACTGTATTGTCTCCGCTGTGATGTTAAACAGTGACGAGAACATGAGATATCGACGCAGTCTGGATGTTCTCGTCACTTTCAGAGAAGACGTTTCAGTTTTCAAGGTGAATTTAGAAAAGTATAGCTTCATTACACGTAACTTATAATATTGAAACCAGGTCTAAAGGTAACCACGATGTCTTTAATGCTGGAGGAATTGACACTTTTGCGCATGGCGCACTGTGTTTTTTTAAGAGTTTGTCACTCTGAAGTTAAAGTCAAACTCGCACTTCACGGAGCTGATGGAGTCGATGCTGGGTTTGCTGCCAACCTGAGGATGTTTGAGGCACTGGGGGAAAGTTTCTGATCGCGGAATTCGCCGTGAAGTCAACACCGGTTCTTCCTCCAACTCCTTCACGTCCTTCTTAAATTCCGGGGAGGTAAACCTGCGTAAGAGCTTATTGCTCAGCACCGAGAAGGTCGTGGTTGAAGTGGCTGTGGCCGGTGAGATAAAATGAGGAGGTTCAGCTTTGCAGTGAGACTCTTCGCGCCTCCTCACGGTTCTGGATTTACGCAAAGGCACCAGTGTGCGGTCCGGGGGTGTGGGGCTGAGGATACTGGTTGGCAGACTGCATCTTTTCTTATAATAGCTGTCATGAAACCTGCGCACACCGAAGTCGAATATTATAGATTTTTCTGGTCCTGGTTCACTCTCAGTTTTGTTGGCAACAATTGGAGTCAGTAAGATTCGCAGCGCAGAGGGCGCACTGGGTTTGTGTGTGTTTCTGTTGGGCCGTGGTGAGAACAAAATAGATTTTTGAGCCTCGCATCTTTGAATAAGAGGGGGGAGGTGGTCATCAGGGGTGATTTTAAGAGGAGTGGCGTTTGGAAAATGGTGGCATGTCCGCGGAAGTGGTTTAGGTGTTAGTACTCCTGAGAAATCCAGCTCCTGTGGAAGTGAAGAGGAGCCGTCATTCTCTCTCTCAAACTCCTCTATAGAGTCCATCGATGGTAACCTGCTCTGCTTCATCCGAGGTCTGGACTGCCACGTGTCGTTTTGAACCAGAGAGTAATCTGCATGATCACACGTTTGGAGGACTTCAAGTTTGTTCATCAAATGTTTACTCTCAAACGTCTCATGGCCACATCCCTGACTGAGTCGTGGCTGCGTGTTTCCCTTCTTGGAGTTGTTAGTAAGCGCATAAATGCACTCAGTGTGGCCGAGCAACTTTGCCACTTCAACAGCAGAGTTGCCAACTTTGTTTTGTCTGTCTATCTGGAGCCCCAGCCTCTTGAAAGCTCTCACCAAAAACTCAACAACGTGGGAGTGACCTGCCACCGCGGCGTACATCAGGGCGGTGTTGCCCCAGCAGTCCACTATCTCCGGGTCTGCGTTATTGCGCACCAGGATCTTGGCAGCGTCCAGGAAGCCTCTCTCGCAGGCGTGACTGAGCGCAGTGCGCCCGTCCCCGTCCGGACAGTTCACACTGGCCCCTCTCTGCAGCAGCAGCTCCACAAACTTACAGCGAGTGTGTGCTTCCGGCAGCAGGACGGAGGAGATCAGGGGCGTCTGTGCGTCCTCGGTTCTGGAGTCCACGATTTCTCCATCCAGCGCGTCCAGAACAAACCGGGCTAGGTGGACTTTATCCTTGGACATGGCCTCCAAGAGGAACCTGGTGCCCGTCTGCCCTTCACACCTACCAGGAGCCTTCAGCATGATTCTGAGTTTGACCTAAAAGAGAGAAATGTCATCTTTCTATGATGTGGAGCAGGTTCGGAAATCTCTCCCCCCGAGTGCTGCCAAAACAAACCCACCACCCTGTTATATAGAGAGGGGGGAAACCTCGGTGTTGCCGGGCAACTCACACATAATTAGTAATTATGTTATGTAATTACAGCGCTTTGTTCGTCTTTCTCATGTTAATATTCACTTATAATGACAATAAAGAGCGTCAGCGCTGGAGCCGCCTGTGTTCAGGAGTGGATCTGTGTTATGAACCGTCCCGCACTTGTTGACTGTGATCATTCAGCAGAGATGATTGTTTGTCAATTTGGACGTGGGTGGTGTGTGTGCACGTCATGCGCACTCCTGCAGTTGACAGTAAATCTGACGTAGACTCTAAGATATAGTTTGATTTAAAAACAAGGTCCGGTTGAAAGTGAGGAGAAAAACAATCTCTGTTGTTGGAATTAGATCCCTCTTGGTTTTGAGTCAGAGAGGGATTTTATTAGAGACAACATTTGTGATGCTGCTTCAGTGCTCGAAATTATTCTAAATATTCCTGCCATCATAAAATATCACCTTTTAAGTTATTTTAGATAAATGTTTTATTTAAATACGTCAAATACTAAGACTAGGTTCTAATTTAGCATCATATTGTGTTCAATATCATGTGCAATATTACTTCCATATATTTACACATTTTTGCCACTTTAGTATTAGTTTATTGTCTCATGTAATTTATTTTATTCTATTGTCATTTTTAATTGGCACTGGTTCAACATTTACTTCACATATGCCTTTATATTGTATATGGCTGATGCTCAGGAGGTTGAGTTGAAGGTCTGCAGTTCCATCCCAGTTTCGGCCATTCTTCGTGCCTAAGTGTCCTTGGGCAAGATACCGAACCCCAAATTTCCCCTGACGGCTGTGCTGCTATTGTGTGATAGAGAAAGTGCTGCAGATGGTGTATGAATGTGTGTGTGAATGGAAAAAACTGAACAGTGAAGTCCTTTGAGTGGTAATCAGGACTAGAAAAGCTCTATAGCACAAGAGTTTCCTTCAGGATTAAGTCTTTTCATAATAAATTTGAATGTCACTCAGTAGAAAGCTTACCTCCTCCAATGCCCAACAACCCCTTTGTTAAACCACCTAAGATTTAAAATTTAAGCATTCAAATTCACTACTAGATGCAGAATTTTATTTGAATCTAATTCAAATTCCACAAACTCATAAATATCAATCCCGTTAATGTTCCAGCTATTTTCATCAAGATCCATTAATTATTCTCTAAGAAATCCACAAAAATGATCTCACAATGTTAAAGAAGGTTTTAAAAAGTTCCTGATTTATATAAAATATAATTTGTTCCTCTCTGGATCATGTCCCACCCCTCAACAACATTTTATGGAAATCTGTTGAGTAGTTTTTGTGTAATCCTGCTAACAAACAAACAAAAACAAACTCAAATGAAAACCTAATTGGCAGAGGTAACAAAATAACCCACAATTGCAAGAAAACACAAAGGAGCCACATGGTTATGTCCCATTTTACACCTGGATTTATTGGTACACATACTATAAAACAGTATTAAAGGAGCTGGATAACAACAGTATTTTCATTGCTATAAGTACAACAATACAATATAAATACAAAAACGCGCACAGAATGGTTTGTTGACAAGCTACAGTTCAAATAGAAAACAAAGAGGAGATACAGTAGATTCTGAGGAACTCAAACTCGGTGACGTTGCTCTGCAAAAATAATCTGCTTTTTGACAAACTAGAGCCAAAGGTTACATGTAATCACACAACATAAAACATTCAACTAGTGCAAAAAAGCCTCTAAAAACAATCTTAAAACTACACATTATATTTAATATATATAATATATATATTCATTTATTTATATATATCTTCATATAAATAACCCCTTAATTTGGCATTTTATCATTCATAAAATAATTTAAACGTCCTAACAGACACTGAGTGGCACATTTGAAAGCGATGGAATAAAATTTTAAAAGCACTTTTTACTCGTTTATCTCTGCACTAGATATGTGGTGAGAGTTTTATACTGTGTTGTGTGGTGCATTAAGGGCAGACTGGAAAAACAAAACGAGAAAAACCAAGTGATTGAAAAATGTCCCCCAAACAACCAACAGCGCCCCACTCTTGTTCCCGAGCCCTTGAATGACAGAACCCAACTAGTCAAAAAGTAAATCAAACTACATACATTCCAGTATATACAAGAACACCCCATCTACCCTTGAAGTGAATTACAGCAGAATGAAACAGCAGAAAAGAAAATCTTAAAAAGGCAAAAATACCTCAAGGTGCCTTTATCCTTGTTTCTTTTTTCATATCAATATCATCCCGTTTTGTTATTTTGAATAGTCATTGCAGTGTCATTATCTGATTGTATGTGCACAAAAGTACAGTACCCACAGGATTACTTTATATTTCTACATCACATCTCTCCTTCTGCAGTCTCACTACATGCTTACTGTAATGGGAACCATTTTGGGAGGGAAAATCCCTAATGTGGACTGTAGCAGCCATGTCTCAGGCTTTGTTACAGATCTGTTATAATTACTGCGTCTGATCTGCCCTGACCGAAGGCGAGCAGGGATACGACGAGGATTACCAGCGGAGGTTTATAAGGTGCAGTCAAGAAGCTATTAAGGGAGCACTTCACTTTAACTATGGCTTTATGAGGGGGAAACTGACAGGATGAGATGGCGTCAGCTTCAATTGGCCAAAGTTCTTGTCTGATGTTGAGAGGCCAGTCAATTAAAAGAGAGCATTAAAGCAGAATTAATTTGCTGCCGTATGGATTCATTTTGTTAGGAGTGTATCACAGCTTTGATTTAATTTCATTTAATTTAAGTGCAAAACCCATTAATGCATAGATCCAAGGTCTTCCTTAAGCTAGTGCTTACTCATAAATGTCCAGTTCATTATATCATCATCTTGCCATTAGTGTTTTACCTACTAATCAGTAGTGGACAGCAACAAAGTACAATTACTTCATTACAATAGTTAATTACACTTGCTGTACTTTACCTACTTAGATTTATTTTCAGGCACTATTCACTCTTGGCTATTTACTGTTAGGATCAGGGGATAGGCTACACTTGGCAACTATTTTTACTTTAAATTCTTGTATATTCAAAAACAAGTACTTACTATTATTCAAGTGGACAATTTATCATGGTATTTCTACTTGAGCACATTGTCTATTAATTTATAACTTAAGTAAATGTTTGAGCCCTTCCTTCACCACTGCTACAAATGACATTGTCCTAGTTTGGAACAATAACGTCAGTCATTACAGTTAAGGCAAACTCACAACCTTTGGGTACTAGAACAGTAATACTGTTATCCGTACCAATACTGGAAATTCCCTCTGTTTGTGAACCTTAAACTTTGACAGAATCATGTTTTTTTTGCATAGTTTACAGGATTTTGAGACTCATTCTTGGAGCATAGAATGTTGCACTAAAGGGTTTTGCAGCTGCATCAAATTGAGCATGAGCATTTTAAAAATATATAAGGGACTCTGCCATTTGTAAGTCCATGTGAAGGACAGCTGTTACACTATCGTATGTGCTTGTGATGAAAACTAGCGATATTCATCCAAGTGAACAATATTCCTTGTGATCCCTTTGTAGTCTTCTGACTCAACAATGTATAATAAGTCTGCTGTAACATTGGCCAACAACAAAAAGTCAATAATACATTTTTCGTGAGGTCAAACATCTTGCATTGTAGGATTTAGGTTACAAAGAGGTTTTGCTTCTCCTTCATACAGTGATATCTTTTAAAAAATACATTCTTACTGAAATACAGAAAACTAGTAGTTCTAGTACTGCTACATTTTCCACATTGTTATGATGGCCTATTACATACAAAGTGCTCAGGACAGGACTGGTGTGTAGCATACAGTGTATTTCACAAAGTTTATTTATTTGTGCTGTAATGACAACTCTTATACATATTCTTCTCCCCTCGTCCCTTTCTGGAGCAGTTAAAAGGGTACTGGTTTAAAAAAGCAAAAACACAAAGAAAGGAATGGATGTTCACTTCATCCGGCCCATGAGGGAATGTGTTTGTGTGGCTGTAGGTTGCAGAGAATAGTGTGTGATTTAAAAAAAAAAGAAAAAAGAAAAAACAATGGAGGAGGGGATGCGTCTGTCGCTTCATCTCTGAAGTAACTTTTCCTCAAGTGGTTGAAACCCGTCAAACAGTGATAAGCACCAATGGCTCAGTGTTATAAAATTAGTGGGTGGGGTGAGGTGGTGGAGGACAGAGACTACAGGTGATTGAACACGGAAAAAAAAAAAAGAGGTGGAGAGAACTACTGTCTGTGTGTGTGAGCATGACAGAACAGTACAGAGACAGTGATGTAGGCAGGGTTTTTGTCTCTGGGTTGTAGAGGGCTGTCAGCGGTGGAGTGTTTCTGCACCTGCGTGTGTGCATGTTTGTGTCTCAGTCGCTCACACCACCGTCGCTGGCCTGCGGTCCATCTCCTCCTCCAGCTTCACCATCTGCTGCATGTCCTTGGCCTTTTGAGGGGAGAAAAAAAACATTAAAAACATAAACACATAGACAGAAACTAGAAAAAAAAAACCTCTATGCAAATGATCCACTTGTCTTTTGTTGACCTGGAGTTGTGAGCTCTGAATGTAAAACAGTAAGAGACACATCTGATTCTTCCTCTGCAATAATCCCTTCTGTTGGCTGCCTATGACATGACTTTTACAGGTAATATAAACCACATGCTTAGTAGAGGGACGTGTAATGGTGGTTACAGAATATCTGCACTGAGACACTGTCACATTCTATGAAAGCAAACGATTATGAGCTGGAATGAAAGCACAGTGGAGCAGGTTGGGAGCAGGCTGTTTTTGCTTAGTAATAGCTGGTGAGTCATGGTGATGAATGACTCAAGCTGCTAGTTTGGCTCTGCTGACACCTTGAGAGCTGCAGACGAGAAAGGAGGAAATGGGATTTTCACAACACAAAGGGAAATTAAACACGTTTGAAAAAATCTTTCATTTTATTCAAAGAGAGATCTGTCATATATTATTCCCCTGCTTTATTCAGAGGTGACCATCATTTGATTTTAAACAGGCTCGGCAGAAACAGAGGTGACAAAAACATGAGTGACATGACTCAGAGGTAGACGGAAGAGAGAAACCTGACTGATAAGTGATGCATTGACAGAGAGGTGGAATCAGAGGTAGAGTTGAGTGAGATGGAGATGCCTACCTTGAACCTGTTTGTTTGCATGGTGTGATTTCAAAAGCTGTGCCAGAAGAAGCAAATCATATTAAAATAATGAATATGTGAATACAGGTTAACATGTAATGAGTGTGACAGATGGTAAAAAAGGTAAAGATGGACCTTGACAATTGACATACAAAGTTAATTATACTCTAAGAGTTTGTAGTCTTTGTAATGTAGAGAGATATGATCCGGAGGACACTAACATCAGTAAATGATACTAGAAGAAGAATATTCTTTAATATGTTACTTATTCTTTGGAACCAACGTTGTTGTTTGTCTTTGGAATCTATTAATACAGTTCTGAAGCTAGCTTTTTTTAAACACGTACTGCAAAGCAAAACTAATTTCACTTTACATCACAAATTAACCAAACTAGTGTCATTGTCTATGGGAGAACTTGGACAGCTGCAGCCAGTGATGCATGAAGAAGTTCTGGTTTGCAGGAAGTTGCTCTAATAAATGTCGTGTTTAACGTGCCAATTAAAGTTGGAGGTCGGGACTTTTCTCTTCAGTCATTTTCCTCTCAAATCTGTAGTGAAGTTCTGTCTGTACACAGCTCATTCTCTTTACTGCAGTGTTGTACCTGCTCGTTGAACTTCTCCAGTTTCTCCAACTGTTCTCTCTGGTTTTTCTGTAGCTGCTCCAGCTCCTTCTGATGCTTCATAGCCAGCTGCAGAAACAAAGGCAATAAGTTATGACCATTCAGTTGCTGTTAAAACCCATAGATAGTAACTTTCAAAGTTTCAAGCTGACTAATAGTCAATAAGGGTGTAATGAATCTGAAGCAAACTGCTACAGGTGCAACCTGTTGAACTCCCTGTACTTTGCTAATGTAAAACACACTTTGCTTTTCATAATCAACTCTAAAACATATAGTGTATTTCATTACGTAAGGAAAAAAATGATTTGGGTTTGAGATATTTGTGTCTTTAAGTGATATAGAGGTTATTGTTATTAGTTTGTCAGCTTTACGCAGGTGCCTCAGGACTTTGGGCAATCTGGTTCATTCAGAAAACAGCAGAATGCAATATGCCTCTAATAACACAAATCATGCAATTATTATTAATCAATGAATTCTAGTATTTTTCATTTTTTAACTAAATACTTAAAATGAACAGTGTAAACAACCCACCCTCTTCCTCTCATCCAGGAACTTTTTGGTGTTGCTGCTGTTTAACTCTCGCACTCTCCTAAGGAACAATAAGTGGAAATGTGTTGCAGGTGTCATGCAACAATCATCAAATCATAATTCAACAGCAGACCTCATGATAACAGATAGATACAGTTCACTGTGAGTGTGACCCACCTCTCTCTCTCTGCCTTGTTTTTGATTGTCTTGTCCTGGCTGATGGCTTTACTGTTTTCCATGGACATCTTGGCCTGGTTGGCCCGCATCTCTTTGCTTTGCCTAAAGTTGTGGAAAAATCCACATTTACTTTAGAGAAACCTGATTACAACAACTGTTACACTTGTAGCTGAAGCAAGGCGAAGGTTTATCGTTTAGCGTTGGGTCCCTGCCCCTCTGGGCCTGATCACCTATAGTGACCGGGTGTTTATGCTTGTGTCTGTGTATAAGGCGTCTCACCGCTCATGGATGAGTTTGAGCTGCATGGTCTGCTGCTCCTGGACTGTGGCCAGGAGTTTCTTGAGGTGTTCACACTGTTGTGTGACGTGGCTGTCCTTCATCTCCTGCTCCTCGTTGCTGTGACTGCTGCTCAGCTCTGACCACTCTTTAGTGTGCTGTGCTGTGATGTTCTTCACCTACACACACCACATGTACACAGCCGTTAGTTATCCACAGCTAAATAGTAATAATAACTATGCGTATAAAGATGATGGTTTTGGGAAAGGACATGAAGCCTGTGCACTGTGACCTTGACTTTATGATCAGTGACGAGTGTTTGGATCTTATCTTCTGTCTCCTTCTTCAGCTCTTGGCAGTTGTTTTCCCTGTAAGGAAAGAACATAAATATAAGTGACAATCAAAACCATGCAAGCTAAATTTAGGATACTAAAATATTTCTCAAAAGAATAACATCAGTCAGATTTTTCATTTTTCTTTTATTAGTCATATTGATCACAAACTATATGGCTAAAAGCTTACATACAAGTTGAGTCCTGTTATTATAATTTTACATCTGACATTATTGTTGAATTGTTATTTATCAAATGTAGATGAAACAAAGACATACAGTAGTTTAAACACAGTTCACACAGTTTGGTCCTTTCACTGAGGACGGACACAAACATTAGCAGGTCCAGCATGTATCCCTGGACATCTTAAGTATACATAGCAAACCTGGTCAGCTCAGAGCCATGATGTCAATACGCTGTACTCATTTGGTTTTGATACAATACTGAACGTGGATATTCTTTTGTTTCGCTACTTACCCACGTTTCTTGATGGCTTTCTCCAGTAGTTTCTCCAGGTTTGTCTTCTCCTTATCATTCAGAGACACCAACTTTTCCATCTGACTGCAGTGGGCTTTCTGCATTATATTTTGATCCTGTACAAAAGAGAAGACATGAACCACTTAAGTATTTATTTTGTCACCAAGATGGTTGTTTTCTTCTACATTTGATATTTAGCTGGATTTCCACGTTACTAAGTGGAAGGTTGTGGTATGGGTCAGGGAAGAACACATTCAATTTTGGTGCAGATCAGGATGGCATTTGACATTTTCACAGTTTACCAGGGGAATAATTCATGGATCTTGATAAAATAAGGCTGGCACAATTAGAGAATTGATATCTATGAGCTTGTGAAATTTGGTGCAGCTTGATTAAATGATAGTGGACTGTTGGACCTTGGCGAAGGTATGTGCTATTCTAGTTTATACTGTGGAGGTGCACTCTTAACCTGTGTTCTCCTTCATAAGCAGACATGAAATAAAAAGAAGAGATTCTGAAACGAAAGATTTATGTTGTAAAACTGAGTAAGGAGCCAGCAGTCATCTTTATTCAGTCAGCAGATGGGTCTGGAAGTATCATTATACATGTAACACAACAGGACATAATCCTGTGATAATTAATGAGCCACTGAGAATGAGCTGCCACTGGGGTTGCTATGGTGAGCTCTGGTCAAAAGGAAAGCAACTTTAGCAAGTCTAATTTCAAATAAAACATTAAGCGGTGGTCAGTGGAAGATGAAAGGTTCTGTAGCCACTTTATAAACAGGTTTGCTCTCAATCTATCACCCACCTTTACGTGTTTCTTCTTTAAAGTGCTCAGCTCCTTCTGTTGCTTTTTAATCAGTTTAAGGTACGTCTGCAGTGGGAGACAAACATTCAGTTATGTTGTGTAAGTCATGTAGAGAAAAGCTTTAGATAATAACACACTGGGGCAATATAATGGCTGGGTGCAGGCATTTTGTGGTAGTGTGTTTACAGAACAGTCATAACTAATACACTGAGGTCATCTTGAGTAGAATTTGGTACAAAATGGTAAATATAGTAATAGATTAACCAGGAGATAACAGCTTCAGCCTTGATCATAACCTTTCTTGGTACTTTCATAGTAAAAAAAACTACATTTTTGATATATTTGATAAATATTACTTGTCTTACTTATAGGTTTAGTGTTTGTTTATCCTTCCACATTTAATGCATCCCCACAGAGTAACTGCAGTAGCTATGTTAGTGAGTTAGAAGGTTGAAAACCAACCTTCATTTGTTTTAAGTCATCGATGTTGACATTAGGCACGAGTGCAGGATCTGTAACAGAGGAAAAGAGTTTGAACTCTGTCTACATACTGGACATCTGTAAATGTTGAATATGTGTGTTTGTAAATCAGCATCTACCCTTCTTGGTTTCTGATGTGTTATTCTGGGCGGTGTTGGAGGTCTGGGCCATGTCTGAGCTGGTCTGTGGTGTCACACTGGTCTTCACCGTGTCTCCTTTACCCTTTCCCTTCTTGTCGTTCTTGGAGCTGCCACTGGGAACGTCTGCGATGTCGTTCTACAACAAGGAAGGAAGGGGTTTCAGTGGAAATCTCATGATGATTTCATTGAGTACCATTCATTGAGCAAAACACATAGTAGGAGCAGTATATCATTCACAGAATGAGACTCAATCTGGAGCTTCAGTTGTGTGTGTGTTGTCGTGTTTACCGTGTCAATCCCCAGTGCTTTCATCTGGTCAGCTCTCTTCTCTGCTATGGTCAAAAACTTCTTTGGGTCTGATAGAGCATCCACAATTGCTGAAACACACAAAACGATAAGTTAATATAGTTCAGGGAAAGAGAAGATGATTTTATTTACTGTCCACAAACTACTTTTTTATTTAAAGCTTACCAAAAGTAAGGAACATATTTCAAGAAAGTAAATGAACCTGAAATAATCAATTTAAAAGACGTGTGAAGTGGTTAAAGCAAACAGAAATGTTATATACAAAGTGTTTAGTCTCTTTCCTCCTCACAGAGATGCACAGTATCACAAAATCTATCCCTCTCTTCATAACCAACGACTGCCTTATAATACTGAGTATACTATCAGGACTGGATTAGATCTTACTTGTTTAAAATTGACTCTTAAGGAAATTATTTTATTTTGAACTCTACTACACTGCTGCACGGGTAGAGAAGTGATTCTGGAAGCAGATCTCCCAGAAGAAAGCTAATGGTTACAGTAATGGCTCCTCAGCACAAACCCCTTGGCTTTATTTAATGACAACTCGATTGCCCCGCTCATTTGTATGCTTCGGTCTTAATGCAGATTCACTGTCATGATCATTTGGATCGTTATGCAGTTAACGCTGTATATTCAAAACAGCCCGATGCAAAGAGTAAGTGAGCGGAAGAGAGAGAGAGAGAGAGAGAGAG